TTTTGTCTTTTTGAGACAGGGTCTCCCTGTAGCCCCAGCTGTCCTGGAACTCAGTATGTAGACCAGGCTGGCCTCCAACTCACAAAGATCCACCTGCCTCTGCCTCCCAAATGCTGGGATTAAAGGCATGCACTACCATGCCCAACATATTTTTTAATATTTAAAAAAATCAATAAGGCTGGGAATGGTGGTGCACACCTTTAGTCCCAGCATTGGGGAGGCAGAACAGGTGGATCTCTGTGAGTTCAAAGGCAACATGGTCTACTTAGTGAGTTCCAGGCCAGCTAGGGCTACAGAGAGACCCTGTCTCAAAAAGACAAACAAACAAACAAACAAACAAAAACCCTCAATAAAACACAATTAACATTTATTTATGTATTTATTTATTTGGTCTTTTTCAGACAGGGTCTCCCTGTAGCCCGAGCTGGCTTGTAACTCGCTGGGTAGACCAAGCTGGCCCTGAACTCACAGAGATCTGCCTCCCAAGTTCTGGGATCAAAGCCATGTTCCACCATGCCCCATGCATGAATTTATTTCAGTAGCATTTGTTAAAGAACCTTATAAATTATATATAACAGTTTTTAGCTTATGAAAGAGTTCCTTCATGTCAGGTATGGTGGCTTACACCTGTATTTCCAGCACTTGGAAGGCTGAGGCAGGGGGATTGCCATGATTTTGAGATCAGTCTTTGCTACATAGTGTGTTCCAGGCCATCTTGGACTTCAGAGTGAAATACTGTTTGAAATCTTCACAACCACTTACACCAAAAAAAGTCCCTTCATACATGTGATCTCAGTCTTATTTACTACCAGGTCAGAAAGGAGAAGCAGGTGTTACCATTTTTGATAGTGAGAATTCAGGGTTCCTGAATGTCAGTGACACTTAGGTGGGGCTTAAGGCTAGATTTTTTTGTGTCCAGTCTCGTTCTTCTCATCTCTTACTATGCTTATATAATTTACTACAGCCTTAATTCCTAAATGTGCTTTCAAGTTTTCTTTTTAATAAACTCCCCTAAAGTACATTATATTACAATACTGGGTCTGTCGTTTGTATATATAAGATGTATCAAAAGCTAAAAGAATGAAATGCCCATGAGCCCATATCTAAATAGAGATTGTATTAGTTTCTTTTCTGTTGCTGTGATAAACCACCATGACCAAGGTGAGGATTTATTGGACTTATGGTTCCAGAGGGATAAGAGTCCCATCATGGTGGGGGAGGCATGATGGGGTAGCCAGAGCAGAAAGCTGAATGCTCAAATCTTCAGACTCACACAGAAAGCAAAGAGAGATATTGGAAGTGGAACAAAGCTGTGAACTTTCAAAGCCTGCCCCCAGTAATGTGCTTTTTCCAGGCCACCCCTCCTAAAGTTTCCATGACTGTCACCAAACTGCCATCAACTGACCAAGAGTCTCACTTGCCTCTCCAAAGTCCTTTCCTTGAACATAACCCCTGCCATAAAATCTCAAAAAATAAATGTGAGTTATGCTTATTAACTGCGTAGAGAGTTTGCTCATTAGCTTCCCCTACTAATGGCATTTTTCTGTTTAAAAATCTTTATTTATGTATGTATATATGTAGTGTGTGTGTGTGTGTGTGTGTGTGCGTGCGTGCGTGCACGCTTAGGTCATAGAACCCAAGTGAGGGTTAGAGGACAACTTAAGGGAGTTGGTTCTCTCCTTCCATCATGTGGGTCCTCGGGATCAAATGTAGGTCATCAGGCTTGGCGGCATAGCCACTGAGCCATCTCACCAGCCCAATTCTATTACAGTTTCTAAGTGTTTCCTTTTAAATGGAGTTTTATTAGGTTGATTTCCTTTTTTCAAGGTAAAAATCCTTAATTGTTCATTTTGCATTACATGTATACATGACACATTTGAGGAATACTGACATTGTAAACCTTGAAACTAATTTTGCTTTAATAGAGACCCTATATTTCTGAAATTTTTACCATTATTGCCATGATGTATGATACTGTAGAGTTCAGATTACATATTCATGAGTCCTAGTAAGATTTAAGAATACTGTAGTTTACAGAGAAACACTACAATGTATAGTGATACTTATACTACAGTATTTCAGGGTCTCTTCCTTATTTTGACTCTAGGGTGGTATTTGAGATATATTATTTCTTTTGACAGACAGACAGACAGATATCCATTAGATTATTTTGAAGGCAGTTTTTGGCATTTTATCCCCATTAGGCTAATAAACCTCTGTAAAAGAAGGAGGGACAAAAATATTTTTAAATGAAAGTAAAAAAAAAAAAAAACAAAACTGGGCTGGAGAGAGGGCTCATCAGTTAAGAACAGTGGTGGTTGTTCTTGCAGAAGACCCAGGTTTGAATCCCAGCACCCACACGGCAGCTAACAGCTGTCTGAAACTTCAGTTCCAGGGGATCTGACAGCCTCTTCTGTACTTCATGGGCTTTGCATGACACAAGTGCACTTACCTGCATGTAGGCAATACATGCATACACATAAAAAAATAAATAAATAAAATATATTTTTTTAAAAAGAGGGAGAGACATTAGTGCCCTTGCTGCTTTTGAGAGTAAACATAGGAAACACCATAAATATTGTCATTAAAAAGGCAGACTAAATACTACCATAAATGGTTAGTTTTCAACTATGTGTTTATCTTGATCCCTTCATAATCCATACACAAATGAAATCAAATCAAATAAAAATGCTTAAACCTTAATCCTTAATGTTTTAGTCAGAGAGCTCTTATTAGCAGTGCTCCTTGAGTCAAGATGTATAGTGGAATGCTGTACCAAACAAGTTAGACAGGCTTAGCAGCCAAGAGAAAACATGGAAGACCATCTGCATATTAGAATACAAATGTGGGCATGTAACACATAAGCCTGTTCTCATTTCTTTATTTTAATATAAAGTATTTAATACATACAAACAAAAGAGTATATACAATATAAACATGTCATAGCAAAAAAAGATCTTTAAGAATTGAAAGCCTTGGTATATGGACTCAGCAAATGTGTTTCGCAATAGATTGCCTATAATAATGGATTTCCCAAGAGAGAAAATTATACTATCTTGGTAAATTCTGTTTTATTCCTACTTATGTATCTTGATTGCACTTAAATCACTTGAGAGAGGGGGAAGCCAAGCCTTTATGTAACCGATAAGCCTAACTTTTATATTTTGCTTCAATTTTCGTGTGTAAATTTCCTTCTTTTAGCCTAGTGGTTCTTTGTTCGTTACTACAATCAACAAGACACAGCTGTCCTATGCCTTGGGAATTGTTTTTTCAGAGCAGATTGCAGGTATCGTTCCAAAAGGCACTCACACATGGGAGAAGTTTGTTTCACCTGAAAAGCTAGAGAGTATTCTAGAATCAAGTAAGTATCAAGAAGACTTTTCCAATTTTCAGGGCCTATTGAACTTCTAATGCATGAATTAACAATGCAGGCTGGCACTTCATTAAGCATGTCACTGTTTTTTGGATGTTAGTTTCATCTCCTCAACTATGTCATAAACTATGAAGTTGTGAAGTAGACACCACTTGACCTGTGGTACTTAAGAGATGATCAGTACACACTTTTGGCTAGTTAATCTTGATTCTTTCCATGATGGGGTACAAATTTTATTACTTAGCATGCTCACTTTGCCCTAGTGAGCTCCACTTTTATTCCTGACTCTTCTCAACTCAATTATATTTTCAACTTTCATGTCATTTTTTATATATTTTATGGTATGTATAGTAACTTGATATTTGGTTATTTTCATGTTCTTCATTCTTGCTTGTAAGCTTTTTTCTTTTTAAATTTTTTTAAAGATTTTATTTATTATTTTTATTTTATGTGTATGAGTGTACTGCCTGCATGTATGTGAGCGCATCTGTGTCATGCAATGCTGCAGAGTCAGAAGAGGGCTTCAGATTCCCTTGGAACTGGAGTTAAGGATGGTTCATAGCCACCATGTAGGTGCTGGGAAATGAACCCGGGTCCTCTTCAAGAGCACTTAGTGCTCTTAACTGCTGAGCCATCTCTCCAGCCCCTGCTTTTTTAAAAATTTCTTATATACAGGGTCTCACAGGGTCTCTTATATACGGAGTTACATAAGCTCTGGCTGGCCTGGAACTTGCAACATAAACCAGGCTGACCTCAGTCTCACAGAGATCTGTCTGTTTCTGCCTCCCAAGTGCTGAAAAGGTGTGCACCACCATGCCTGACTCTTCTAAGTTTCTTGATGGCAAGATTATACCTCTTGTATGGTTATGCCTTGCACTGCTTTACACATAGTAAGCATTTTATATGCAGATTTCTGTCTACTAGTAGTGATTCTCAGTTCATTTGGCATTTTGGAATTTTTGTTGCATACTTAGACTCTGTGTTTTTCATACTTTAAAAAAAATCAAACTTGATTTTACTTGGAATATTACGACTTCACAGCAATGTAATCACAGCACTTAGAGGACTGTAGTAGGAGAACTGGAAATTCAAGGCTAGCCTGGGCTACATAGAAAGCATATATTGGGTAAGACTGGTCTCAAACAAGAGTGAGGCACTGTCTCAACAAACAAAAGAAAAAACAAACCAAAAAAGATACTTTATGGAGACAATCTTCTGTTGACAGATACTGTCTACTGACAGTTAATATTTGTTGAGTAGTTACCTAATTCTAAGCACTAGCTACTTAGACAGGTAGCTCTTTTAATCCCAACAGCTCCATGACATATGATCTTTATGTGGTGGTCAGAAGGAGGCAAGTGAGTTGCCCCATGTCATCATAATAGTATGTGCCAGAGCTGGGATTTGAACACAGGCTGTAAGCTTTGGCGTATGTATTCTTATCTGAAATAAAGTGTAACATAAATTTAGTTGCAATTTTTTGCTCATTAAATTAGGTATTATTTAGTAATATGAAGAGTCTTGGCATTTGAATGCTAAATGTTCATTAAGTCCAAGCTCTCTGATTATTTTTTTCAGATGGTCTGTCAGTTCAAACTGTGGCAGGAATGCTCTATAACCCCTTCTCAGGTTACTGGCATTGGAGTGAGAATACCAGCCTTAACTATGCAGCCCATGCCATCAGATCCAAAGTACAGGAACATCCAGAGCCTGCCGAGCTTTTTTCAAAGAGGGAGACAGAAGAACTCTCTGCTAATGCCTCCACTAACCCCTGTGTATGTGAAGAGTTGAAGAAATGAGGTATTTCTGAAAACTGTGGGAATATGCTCAGAATCTGATGTTTACAAACTCAAAAAATACAGTTTCTCTTTTGAAAGAGAATCAATAAAAGTAGCTAAATCTTCAAACAAAAGTTTCTATGTCATCTAATAGCTGCTTTGAGGGATTTTGTGGATATGGTTTTGTCAAATTATTTTATGATCTAGGAGTTTAAGTTCTTCAGCTTTTGTTATGGAAATATGTTGTGCTTATTTCACTTCCTTTTACAGATTATGTATTTTATTACACGTGTATACAGAAATGTATGCTGTTGTTTATTTTAACTCAATAAGGAATCTGTGTCATCTAATACTCCTCTTTTGTTTTTAGTTAAAAGAGGCAATGCCATGACTGATAAAAGGCAACTGTAGTTTTAGATCACTTATTCTTGGGAATATAAAATGTATTTTATCCTGTAACTTGTTCTTTGTCAGAAATAAATGGTTTGTTAAAAATGTGTGAGATTTGAACTCAGGCATTAAAAATAAGTTCAGATTATGTTGGACATATTTCTGTGTACAATTATTTTAAAGTTTTATGGTCCTTTTTAAAGATAGAAAGGAATTTTTAAAACTTTAAAAATTTAGTTATGGAATTTTTCTTTTTCAGTTATCATTTTTATAATTAAATGGGCTAACTTGAAATTTCTTTTTCCTTTTGAATTCTGTGATTCTGATTTTTCCTCGAAGTCCACATTCTGTGCAAGGACATCTGCAGAGAATGCTGGCTAAGTAACACATAGATTGGAAGTATGTGGTCCATGGGGCAGCTTATCTTTAATTTAGAGCCGTTTTTACTTTTTGGTTCATATATTTACATTAGATTTCTTTGTTGGTGTTTGTTGTGTTGGGTCTCTTGAATAAACTTCCCAACCATATTCTCAGTGTTATTTACAAGGAAGAAACTGAAATATTAAAAGACAACTAAATGTGAATGGTGCATGCCCTTAATCTCAGGACTCTAGAGATGCACTCGGGAGGGTTGGCAAAGAAGTCTGAGGCCAAATTGGACGACATAATGAGTGCCAAGTCAGCCAGAGATACATAGTGAGACCCAGGCTAAACATTAATAACAAAATTAAAAGGAGAGAGAGAGAGAGAGAGAGAGAGAGAGAAGAGAGAGAGGAAATTTTAATGTCAACTGCTTCTGGGTAGTTAGGGAACAAAATGTAGAAGTTTTATGATTGCCATTTATTTATTTACTTATTTGTTTTTCAGAGACATGGTCTCCCTGTAGCCTCAGCTGGCCTATAACTTGCTATGTAGACCAGGCTAGACTTGATTTCACAGAGATCCACCTGCTTCTACCTTCCAAGTTCTGGGACTAAAGGGGTGTATCACCAATGCCTGGATTTTTTTTTTTTTTTTAAGGTAGGAAAAATGTTTATTATTCCAAAAATAATTCAGTACAAATACTGAATTTTTTTCTGAATAAGTAAATGAAAAGATATCTTTAATGTTGAATGCTTCTTTTTAAAATAATTTATTGAGATTTTCATACATGCATATAAGGTGTTTTGATGAAATCCATGCCCACTCCCTCCCCTCCAATTCCTCCCATATCTCCCCATCACTTTTTTTTCTGATAACTTCATGTACTCTTTCTTCTTCTTTAATATTTTTTTATGGGGCTTTTGGCTGTTCTAACATTCCCCCTTCTGAAGAGGTAACCCTAAAATCTTTTCAGGACTAGATAACAGCTCCTAAATATTTTTGACATTTTTGGACTTTAGAATGGAGTATGTTGCTAAGAGGCCCAAGGACATTGTGAGTTTTAGCCAAGAAACTGGCTACTTTTCCTTGGGGTCTTTTTCACCATAACTGCCTAGTCAATTCCTACCTCCTATTCTTATCACACCATCCCTTTGAAGAGGTTATGCAAATTGCCAATAGGGAATCGGGTTGCAGACCACTCTGGCTTCTTCCATGCTGAACAGGGAGGCAGGGTGAGGCAACTGGACCCCTGCAGTGGGTACTATCTAAAAGACTCCCAGTTTTATAACTCTTATCTCAAGGAGGAAAAGAAAGTCCTTGAATCATGAATGGGAGATGTGAAGAAGTAAAGGCAAGAGTAATTAGCATTCCAAATTCTAGACAGGAAACTAGAAAAAAGTCAGAACAGGGAAATTTTCAAATTTTCATATGAGAGTCTGCTGCCGCTTCTCCATTCACACGGGTGCTGTGGCTGCTCTTCCACTTGCCCTGGGCTGAGGCCGCTCTTCTGCCTGCCCAGCGCTGAGGCCACTCTTCTGCTTGCCCTGTGCTGCCTAAGAACATCGCTGCTTCTGTCCGTCCCGGACCCCAGGGCTGGTGAGGAGACTATGTCAGTGGAACTGCATTCAGACACAGGAGACAAGGTTCAGTGACACAGATCCACTTTATTGCAGGAAGGCACAAGCTTATATAGGGGTAGCAGTCCAATCATAGCACAGCGAGTAGGATACCTTATTAGCATAACAGGCTTAGTGTCCTATCACAGTATAGTGGGCTAGGTGCCTCATTAGCATAATGGGTTTCAGATTACAGAGCCTGGATTTCTGGAAACCACGTGACCCTGATTGTTGCAATATCTAAATGTTGAAATTTGGAATTCCAAGGGTGGTGATTAGGGAGTGGCAAGCCCTAGGCATCAGTCTCATGATCTGCCAATGGGAGCAAATATCACAAGGCGTTCCTTGTGGCTCCAGCGTTTGGGCCATTGCCTCAGGCCTGCTGTATGACTGTCATTAAGACTTTCACTGTAGGCTCAAGCCTGTCTCCCACAAGAGTCCATTGGAATTTCTTGACAAGGGCTTCCAAAAGCATTCCTCTATAAGGTTCCTCCTCATTTTTCTTTTGTCTTCCAAAGCTGGACTCTAGAGTGATGGATTCAAGATTTTCTTTCAGATATTTTGATAGCTGTTGGAGTGGTTAGAATCAGTGTCAGTTCCCTCTCAAAGGCTTCGAAATAACTGAGGGGTTGCTGAGGTGTATGTATGACCTGAGAGTATGCACACTGGAAAGCCTTTACCCAGTATGGGTCATGCCTTCTCTTCCTAGCCTTCCCCAGATTGTATATAGCCTTCCCCAAATCCAGGAGGCCATGTATGATTAGGATCAAATTACATTCAGTTGGCTCTGAAGAGTGGCTGGAAAAGCCATGAGGTCCAATGACCCTGCTTGGCCCTCCTTTAATGAATGAACACAACCGTCAACAAGACCAATTGTGACTGTGTTTAGCGATCAGACTCAGCTGAAGTCATGATGATGGTAGTTATTCATGCAGAAGGGACTGCTGGCATCATCTTATTAAAAGGACCTGGAATTTAAAAGGATTTGGTGCAAGGATCCACATATGAGATAGAACATATGGTGTTTGTTTGCCTGAGTCTGTGTTACTTCACTTAGTATAACAGTTTCTAGATCCATCCATTTACCTGTTAATTTCATTATTTCATCTTTCTTTACTGCTGAATAGAACTCCATTGTGTACATATACCATATTTTTGTTAACCACTTGTCAGGTGAGGGGTACTAAGGTTGCTTCCCCTCTCTTAGACATTGTGAAAAGAGCAGCAACAAACATGGTTGTACAAATGTCTTTACAATAGGATGAGTCCTTTGGGTATATGCCAAGGAGTGGTATAACCGGGTCATATGGTAGGTTCATTTTTAGTTCTTTAAGACTTCTCCACAGTGTTTTCCATAGAGGCTGCACAAGTTTGCAATCCCACCAGCAGTCAATGAGTGTTCCCCTTTCTCCACATCCTGGCCAGCATTTGGAATCATTTGTTCCCTTGATCTGAGCCAGTCTGATTGGTGTAAGGTGATACCTTAGGGTGGTTTTACTTTGCATTTTCTTAATTATTAATGATGCTGAACACCTTTTGAGATGTTTCTTAGCCATCTTTATTTCTTCATTTGAGATCTCTCTGTTTAGATCTTTAACCCATTTCTCGATTCTTTGTTTTTTGAGTTCTTTATATATCCTGGATTTTAAACCCCTGTCAGATGTGTCAGTGGTGAAGATTTTTTTCCCATTCTGTGGGTTTTCTCTTCACTTTTTTGATTGTTTCTTTTGCTGTACAGAAGCTTTGTAGTTTAATGAGGCCCCATTTGTTGATTGCTGACCTTAATTCCTGAGCAACTTCTATCCAATTTAGAAAATACTTTCCTACATCTATATCTTGTAAGGTATTGTCAATGTTTTCTTTTAATAGTTTCAGGGTTTCCAGTTTAACATTGAGGTCTTTGATCCATTTGGAGTTGACTTGTACAAGGTGAAAGGTACGGATCTAGTTTCTTCTACAGGTAGCAATCCAGTTTTGCCAGCACCATTTGTTTAAGGTGCTGTCTTTCCTCCATTGTGTGTTCTTGGCACCTTTGTCAAATATCAGGTGGCTGAAATTGTGTGTATTCAGGTTTGCATCTTCAATGATGTTCCATTGATTTATGTGTGTATTTTTGTGCCAGTACCATGCTGTTTTTAAGACTATATCTCTGTAGTATACTTTGAGATCTGGTATAGTAATCCACCCAGCATTGCTCTTTGTGCTCAGGGTTGCTTTGGCTATCAGCGAATTTTGAGCTTCCCTATGAATTTAAGGATGTTTTTTTCTAATTCTGTCAAATATGTCATGTGTATTTTGATGGGATTGCATTGAATCTATCTATTGCTTTTGGTAGGATGGTCATTTTCACAATATTAATTCTTCCAATCCATGAGCATGGGAGGTCTTTCCATCTCCTGGTGTCTTCCTGAATCTCTTTCTTTAAGAATTTAAAATTTTCATTGTAGAGATCATTGGTGTCTTTGATCAGATTTATTCCAAGATATTTTTTTTCAGCTATTGTGAAGTGAGCATTTCCCTGTATTCTTTCTCCAGTTGCTTGTTATTGTTATATAAAAAGGCTACTGATTTTTGTAGATTGATTTTATAACCTGCCATTATACTGAAATTGTTGATCAGTTCTAGGACTTTTCTGGTGGAATTTTTGGAATCTCTTAGGTATAGTATCATACCATCTGCAAAAAGTGATAGTTTGACCTCCTCTTTTCTAATGAGCCCTTTAATTTCTTTCTCCTGTCTTATCGCTCTAGCAAGAATTTCAAACATTATGTTGAAAAGGAGTGGCGATAGTTGACATCCTTGTCTGGTTCCTGATTTTAAAGGGAATGCTTCCAGTTTTTCTCTATTTAGAAAGATGTTAGCTATGGATTTGTTGGAT